AGCCGCAGCTGATCGCTGGCAAACGGTCAGTCTTCGTCACCAGCAAGAGCGGCATCCAGCCGCACAAGATCGGCAGGGCCCTGATTACTAACCTGGCCAAGTCTACAACCAGATCCAGCCCGACCTTCATAACGAACAGCACCGTGCTCTACGAGCGGTGCTGCAAACCGGACAGCTAGTTCAACGCCGTCTGGAAGAAGAAAGGAGGAGCTGCTGTCAGGCGTGGTCTTCCAGGCTTCGACCTCTCCAATCAGTTCGCGGTCCAGAAGCTGGAGGGCAGGATCCAGAAGCACCTTGCCGCAGGCAAGAGTGTGCGAGCTCACGCTGCGTTTCCTTGCCAGCCGTGGACATCGCTACAACGACTCGCTGTCAAGATCGACCCGAGCAAGATTCCCAAGTGAAAAAAGGATCGGGCCAAGTCCAAGCAGATGATCGGCCTGTTCCTGCAGTCAATGTCACGGCTGCGCAAGGAGTTAGGTGCCCAGCTCGCCGTCTCGTTCGAGTGGCCGAGGTAATGCGACGGATGGGGCCCCAACAAGAACGCCATTGCCAAGCAGCTGAAGGAGCAGCCCCCGCGCGTCGTGGACTTCGACGGCTGCGCGTTCAACCTCAAGACAAAGAATGGGATCCACATCAAGAAGCCGTGGCGGTTCATCACCGACCATTTCGGGTTCGACGACTCGTTCAGGCGCTTCTGCAGCGGGGGGCACCCACGCGCAGAGGCCCGCGGGAAGGACGCGAAGCGCAGCGAGAACTACACGACCAAGCTCGCGACGGTGCTAGCCGAGCAGCTGCGACGTCCGAACCGCCGACCTGCACGAAAAGCTCACCCTACATCGACGACGAGAAGGGCAAGAAGAAGGACGGTTCCAGCCGCCGCAACCACTCAGGAGCCAGCGCCCACGGCCGCGGTGGAGCGAGCACTACGGTCCGCCATCATGCAGCTCCACGTGAACACGGGGCACCCGTCCAACGGTTCACTTGCCCGAGCCATTCGCGCGACTGGTGGATCGCAAAGGTCCATCGATATGGCTCTAAACCTCGATTGCGAAGCTTGCGCAGCACATCAGCGACCACTACCACACCTACAGGGGCGGATCAGACTGGACAGGGACTTCAACGACTCCATCGGAGTGGACCTATTCACCCTGGCCGACTACGCTGGCAACCAGCTAGTCTACCTCAACGTGGTCGACCAGGCCTCTGGTTTTACGATGTGCGGCACTGTGGCATCAAGGCACCCATCGGTTGTTTTCGCTCGACTGTTGCAGATTTGGATCACGCCTTTTGGCGCGCCTCAGCGAGTCATATTTGATGGTGGAGGCGAGTTCGAGCGAGAGTTCTCCAAGGAGCTCGAGGACATGGGTTGGAGTGTGATGACGACATCTGCGGCGACGCCGCAGCAGGATGCCACCGTGGAACGACATGGAGGAATGTGGAAGGTGCACGCGAGGAAGCTGATCGACCAGTTCAGCATCAGGTTCAACCAGCCCGCGGCCGCTCATAAAATCCAGTGGATGATCGCCTCCGCGCGCTGGGCCATGAACAGCCAGGTCAACTCCACGGGCTACTCGCCGTCGCAGTGGGTGATCGGACGAGGCCTTCGCCTCCCGCATGTCTTGCTGGTCGTGTCCGACAAGCCGTTCTCGGAGAGGGTCCCCATCATGAGGGCCGCGCAGATCTCCGCACTGCACCTGAGATTCAACCAGCCCCTCTCAAGGGCACCGCTGGCCCTATCTCGGGCAGATGGAGCGCAGCACGCCAGCGACGTCTACCAAGCGGGCGACCAAGTGCACCACTGGAAGGGGCAAAGGCAAGCCCAAGGGAGAATGGGCCTTGCAGTGGCACGGGCCCGCCGCCATCATCAGGTTCGAGGGCGCATCGAACGCGCGGGTCAGCCACCGCGCCACGACCGCGAAGGTCAACCGTGGACACCTATGCCGCGCCAAAGCCACGGAACTTGTTCCGCGGGGACAAATGCTGAACGCGCTGAACAGCAACCAGCCGCCTGGACCTCCGCCAGGCGCCCCGCCAGGGACCTCCGGGCCCGCACCTCCCCCAGGCCCCGGGGGAGGCGGCGGCGGCGCGGGCGGCGGGGCCCCGCCGCCCGGCCCCGATGGAGGAGGAGGCCCTGCTGGACCGGCACCGCCAAACGCTGACGACGACGCGTTCCTTGACCTGAGGGGACCGACACCGAGGAAGCGCCCCCGCAGTGACAGTCAGCCCCCCGCACCACCAGCGCCAACAGCACCCGATCAGCAGCCAGCCATCCAGCATCACAACTTCGGCAACATCGAGCACTCCGAAGCGAACCAGCGCGCTCATGAGTACGCCGAGTGGCTGGCACGCCGCCAAGGACATGGCGATTTCACAACCAGTGGATGAGCGAGCGGCAGCGGAGGACCGGCCCCACCGCCTTCGGGAGGAGACGCACAGCAGCCCCCGCCGCTGCTACCGCCAGCGGAGCCGCCGCCGCCACCAGCGGCCGCCGACCCGCCGGCGCAAGACTCAGACTCAGGCGACGCTGCCGCTCCCGCAGCCAGCCCCGCCGCTGCTGCCGCAGATTTTCGACCTCCTGAACCTGCCCCTCAGGGCCCCGTCGACGACGAGATCGAGTCCGACGGTTCGGACATGATTCGAAAATGGGCCAAGATTGCGGAGGGGCAGGCGCGCCAGGAGACGACGTCGCGGCGCCCACCGGACACCGAGAAGCAGCGCGGCACCAAGACACAGCGCCAAGTTCAACAGGAGAACGCACGAGCGGCACTGCAACGCGACCGCCAGCACGAGCTCGACCCCCGCGAGCGCGCTGCCAAGCGCAAGGATCTTTCGGACGACCTGCCCAAGTGTTTCAAGAGGCCAGAGGACACGAACAAGGTCGACCTCTACCTAGACAACTACTTCCAGAAGCACGCGGACGAGCTCTACGCAAGCACACGACTCCGCGAGGCAGTGCTCACGGGCAACGCGACCGTCATGGAGCTCAAGTACGACACGCTGAGCGCCACCGAGAAGAAGAACATGGGCGCCGCCATGAAGACCGAGCGGTCAAAGTGGACGGAGTTCGGCGCCTACCAGAAGCTCCCGCCCAAGGAGCTGAAGGAACTCCTGCGGCGCAACGCTGGCATCCGCCCTGTGGGCGCACGCTGGGCGCCGACCAGCAAGGGCCAGAACATCATGAAGGCACGCCTGGTCGCGCGGGGTTGCAAGGAGGACAAGTCGCAGACCAGGACGGACGCGCCTACGGGGTCCAGGGACGCGCTGCACCTGACCCTGGCCGCCGCGGCCCAGAAGGACTGGGACATCTCGTCCTGCGACGCGATGACGGCCTACCTGCAGCCGGGTAACATTGAGAAGCTACTGCTCCTGCGCATGCCGGCCAAGAACCCGCCGCCGGGGACCCAGCCTGGCGAGATCGCGAGAGCCACAGGCGCGATCTACGGGACGCGCGACGCAGAGAAGCAGAGGCACCTCTACGCGCAGAAGGCCATCGCCGAGCACGGCCGCGTAGAGAGCAAGCTCGAGAAGGGCCTCTACTACTTCTACGACGAAGGTGGGCTCGCCGCGGTGGTCCACTCACACGCGGACGACTTCCTGATCGCCCAGCGCAACAACTCCACCAAGTGGAAGACCACTATCCCATCGCTGGGGAAGAAGCTGCACCTCAAGCCAGTCGAAAGGGGTCATAAAGTACTGCGGACGTACGATTACCAAGCTCGACGACGAGTTCCGCGTGACCCCAGGCCACTGCTGCCGCGCAGCTGGACTACGTCGACTTGAAGGCCCAGAAAGGCCGAGGTGCTGAGGACCGGCTCACCGCCACCGAGGTGACGAGTTACCGCCACACGCTCGGGCAGCTGTTGTGGCTAGCGTTGCAGACCCGGGTGGGAAGCCCGACGCGCCAACGTCGCTACCGTGGCCGACGCGAAGACGCTCAAAAAGACCGTCGCCTATGCGCACTCCACCGCGAACTTCGCGATCGTGCTCAAGCGCGAGCTCGTCGACCTGAAGACGGCCATCGCCGCGTGCTTCAGCGACGCCGCGTTCGCCAACGAGGGCGGCGTCAAGAGCCAGTGGGGCATGGCGATGGGGTTCACCCATCGCCCGCGTGACGTCGTCGGCGGCCGTTGCGACCTGCGCCTGCCCGTCGCCTGGCACTCTGGCACAGTCAAGAGGTCGGTGAAGTCGACCATCGCTGCCGAGGGCTACGCTACCCTCGAACGGAGATCAACATGTGGTTCCGACAGCTGCTGACCGAGGTCTACAACCCCAAGACGGCGCTCAAGCATATCGACGTGCTCGCCGACAAGCGCCCTGGGGAGATCTACAGCGACAGCAAGGGTCTCGTGACGCACATCGCTTCAGATGTGGGCCAGTCTACCGACAAGGACAAGCGGTTCCGCATCGTTGCCTCCATGATCAAGGAGGCCGTGCACCCACACAGCGCGCTCAAACCCAGCTGGATCCCGACCTGGGCCATGGTCGCGGACGCCTTGACGAAACGATGGAGGTGGGCGTCCTGCTGTCTTTTTTCGGGGCCCGCAAACACACCTACGGGACCCGGCAAGCACACGCTGCCATGCTCGCCTCAGTCCTGTTCACGTGCCTCGGCAAGGTCAAGGAACAGCCTACGCCTACGCCGACTATGCCAGACTACAGCTTCTACATATGCCTGATGACGTTCACACTGGTCCTCGGCATGACTATCGGTTTCGGCATCTCCATGGCGCTCTGGACTATCGTGAGGCAAAACAACGCGATCGCCACCGAGGAGGGCGTCGCCGAGGCGAAAGCCATGGGCGAGCACCCTGGCTGGGACGGCCGCGTGCTCGGCCGGCGCCGCAACATACCACCAACCATCCCAGAGGATCGTGATCACGGTGGTGAAATCACGACGTCCCACGCGGACGTGTTCAGCAGCGCACAGGCATCGAGTTCAGCAGCATCGGCCGCAATTCAGCAGCCGCCGCCGCCGCCACCGGTACCGACAGAACCACCACCTGCCAGCGCACCGCCATCACCGTATACCGCAGCATCAGCACGGGGATCTGGACGATCAAGATCAGCAAAATCGCAGGGAAACTCGGCCCCCGCATCACCAAGCATTGTTACCGTGACGAATTCATCGAGTTCCGTGTCATGGAGCGGCTCCTCACCGACAGTGCAGCCGAATGGCATGCTCAGTTGCGTGACCGGTATTCCCCATCATGATGTTGTCATCGGCCACAACCCGCACAGTGTCTACATCACTTGCAAGACCTGCAAGAAGCACGCGTCGTTGCTGCTTCGGCATTACGATTTCGGCAACCCCGATTTCACGATCGTCCCGGAGAGTGTGATGGACGAACTCAAGGGCAGCTTGTGGAAGCTCACAGGCAGGGACGTTTGGCGAGGATCCGGCCTGACGGACAAACCGGCGAAGCCAAAGAAAGAAAAGTCAACCCCGCTTGGTTTTCGGACGGCAGATTGGCCGATCGGACCGGCAATATTCTGCTGCTCAGATTTCATACCCGGCTATTCAACGTTAGTCCGCATTGCTGCTCAGATTTCGTATTCAACTACTCCTACGTTAATCCGCATTGCCGCTCAGATTTCATACCTGGCTGAAGATGTATGGATTCCGTAATGCTGCTCAGATGTTACGCCCGGCCAAAGATCCACACGTAATTCCGCGTTTTTGTTCGAGAAGTTTCATTCGTTTACTGTGCACATGTTTTTTAAAGATGTGATGACGATCACACCCGTTCAGTATTTAGATCTTATCTCGATAAGACGGCTATATATATTGGGTTCTGTCGCTTCGCGATCGAACTCTTGTCATTGCTAGCTTTGCCTTTGATGAAGCGCCAGCGGCGCTGAGAGCTAAGTATACCTTGTATGCCATGCAAGCCGTTTGCTTGCTATAGACTATCTCGAGAATCATCTCCCTGTTTGCAATGAAGTCTCCGGCGAGTGACTTGTTATAGTCCCCGCTCAGGCTCGGCCCTGCGCCCGAGACGGCGACTAGGAGGAGTGTGAATCAAGCTCACTCCCCAGGAATGTAGGAGGCCCGAGAGGGGTTCCCCCAGAAGCCTCGAGGGCCCTGTGGTTTCATTCCTTGCTCTCACCGCCGCTGTTTGTATTCAAACCAAGGTCCTTGGCCTTAGAGCTACGCCCCTCGCCGCGCGAGTAAGAAGATTCATCGACGATCTTCAATATCACACAGAGAAGGCTCCAAAGGCCTCTGAGAAGGCTCCAGAGGCCTCAGAGAAGCCTCCTGAGGTTCCTGAGAAGCTTCCAGAGGCGTCTGACAAGGCTCCAGAGGCCTCGGAGAAGGCCCCAGAGGCCTCCAAGAAGGCTCCAGAAGCCTATGAGAAGCACTCAGAGCCCTCTGAGAAGCCTCCAGAGGCCTCTGAGAAGCTTCCAGAGGCCTCTGGGAACATTTCAGAAGCTTTTCGAGAAGGCTCCAGAGGCTCTGGGAAGCCCCCACAGGCTTCCGAAAAGCTTCCCAAGGAGTCTGCGAAGCTCCCAGAGGCTTCTGTAAAGTTTCCAGCTGCCTCTGCCAAGCCTCCAGCAGCATTTGAGGAAGATCCCGGATGCCTCTCGTCGTCGTCGTCGTCGACGTCGTCGCCGCCGCCGCCGCCGCCGCCGCCACCGTCGTCGTCGTCGTCATCATCGTCGCCGTCGTGATCGTCTTCGTCGTCGTCGTCGGCGTCGGCGTCGGCGTCGGCGCAGCCGTCGGCGTCGCCGCCGCCGCCCCGACAATGGGGGTGGGGGGAACCAACGCTGAAATCCACGGGGGGGTTCTCGGCGTTTTCGGCCTCTGGAGGTCGCCCCTGCCTTGCGGCCCCAGGCCCGTCAAAAATCAAACCCGGAGGAAGACCGTTGCTGGGGAAGTTGTCGGGTGATTCTCTCGCTGCCCCCCCCCCGTCGTCGTCGTCGTTGTCGTCGTCGGCGACGGCGGCGGTGGCGTCGGCATCGGCGTCGGCATCGGCGTCGGCGTCGGCGCCGGCGCAGCCGTCGGCGTCGCCGCCGCCGCCCCGACAAGGGGGTGGGGAAGGGAAGCAGCGCGGAAATCCACGGGAGGTTTCTCAGCGGTTTCGGCCTCTGGAGGTCGCCCCTGCCTTTCGGCCACGGGACCGTCAAACTCGAGCCCAGAGGAAAACCACTCCTGGAGAATCGCATCATCAATCATCATCATCATCATCATCATCATCATCATCATCATCATCATCATCATCATCATCATCATCATCATCATCATCATCATCATCATCATCATCATCATCATCATCATCATCATCATCATCATCAGCATCAGCATCAGCATCAGCATCAGCATCAGCATCATCATCAGCATCATCATCAGCATCAGCATCAGCATCAACATCATCATCAGCAGCAGAAGCATCATCATCATCAGCAGCAGCAGCATCAGCATCAGCATCAGCATAATCATCATCATCATCCTTATCATCATCGTCATCAGCAGCATCATCATCAGCAGCAGCAGCATCGTCAGCGTCAGCGTCATCGTCATCGTAATCGTCGTGTTCAGCATCATCATCATCATCATCATCATCACCATCATCATCATCATCATCATCATAATCATCATCATCATCAGCAGCAGCAGCAGAAGCATCATCAGCAGCAGCAGCAGCATCAGCATCAGCATCAGCATCATCATCATCATCATCATCATCATCATCATCATCATTATCATCATCATAATCATCATCCTTATCATTATCGTCATCAGCATCATCATCATCATCATCATCAGCATCATCGTCATCATCGTCATCGTCACCGTCATCGTAATCGTCGTGTTCAGAATCATCATCATCATCATCATCATCATAATCATCATCATCATCAGCAGCAGCAGCAGCCTCATCATCATCAGCAGCATCATCATCAGTATCATCATCAGCATGATGTTCGGGATCCTCATCATCAGCAGCATCAGTATCAGCATCAGCATCAGCATCAGCAGCAGCAGCGTCCTCATCACCACCACCGATAGCATCGTCATCATCATCATCATCAGCAGCATCGGCATCATCATCATCACCACCATCGTCATCATCATCACCAC